CGAAGCCGAGGAGCTAGTCGCTCCTGGGGGGTGCGGGCCTCCTGTGCGTGCAGCTGCAGCTCCTCAAGCGCCTCGGCAATCGCATCAAGGTTGGGAAAGTGGAGAGGTTGGACGACGGCGGGAGCCTGCGCCAACTCTCCCTCCGTCATAATGATGAAGTCCAGGTTCCTGAAGCGCACGTGCGCGCCTGGGACCCAGCTGACGCCATGACTAGCCATCCGAGGCCTGATGTGGGACCGTCGGTGTTTTCGGACCACTGACGAGTAAATTTGTATTTGCGCGTCTGGCTCGGATGGTGTGCTTAGAGGACACGAGGTTTATACTGGTTCGGGTAAAAAGTCCATACGTCTAGTTCATCGCTGCTACTTATGTTACTAGCACTGAAAGTTTGTAGTAGGGGTTACAAACAGGCGAGAGAGGGAGAGGATCCCAAGTCTCTGGTGGAAGGAGTGAACAGGTGCTCAGAACTCGATCACTGCTCAGTCATGTGCCCGTATCCTGCTTTCACTTTTATAGGCCAAGGGAAAGCGCGGGTTACAGTGGAGGAAAAAAAAAGAACAAGAGAGAGGAAGGCTTCTAGGATCGCCGGGTCCTTCTTCTCCTTCATGCGGGTCCCGTCGATCCTATAGATGTCAACAGGGATGGCTCCGCGTCGCGGCTCGGTCTATCACTGGCACCATGCGCAGGCGTCATCTGTCGGTCATGGCATTCCAACCCGTCCTGGCGGACGTCGTGATGAACTGACACGCCTGTCAGCATTCGTACGAGGGTTAGGCAGAACAGCACCGGTACGCCCGATGCTGTTCTTGATGTGAATCCCCAAGTATGGCCCATCATGGCCTCGGGTTACATCGAGTCATGCCCGTCTCTTCCCTGGTGTCAGAGTTTTGACCTAGGCCCATACGGCTAGACCTGGAGTGGTTGGCGACGATATGGGTCCCCGTCGGGCGAGACAGAGCCCGCGACCCTTCGGGGTCGGGCGAGATGGAGCCCGCGACCCTTGGGGGCGGACGAGACGGAGCATGCACCCAAGGGTCGGGCGAGACGGAGCCCGCGGCCTCGGGGTCGGGCGCGACGGAAACTGTGTCCTTGGGGTTGGGCGAGACGGATCCCGCAGCCTCGAAGTCGGGCGAGACGGAGCTCGCGGCCTCGGACGAGACCTCCGTAGCCTCAGGGTCGGGCGAGACGGAAACTACGTCCTTGGGGTCGGGCGAGACGGAGCACGTACTCAAGGGATCGGGCGAGACATGTTAATATGTATTGCTCTGTCTGGGGAAGTCAGCGTGGATGCTAACTTCCTTGCTTTGGGTATCCCAAATATAGATAGCCGACAAAAATCATATGTACAAACTTATTTCTATGAAGGCCTGTCCGAAGGGCTCTGTATGGCTTTGTTTTCACAGTAATGTGGAGGAGCTGTCAGAGTCCCAAATATGTAATTTCTCATCCTCCTTCGTTTCCTCGGTGCATCACGGAATCGTTTTGGCATGTTACACTTGCAATACAGTAACGGGTAGAAGGAACTAGAGTGTCTAAGAGCTACACCAAACAAGTTCTGTAAGGCTGTCTCCAACTGGAGATCTAGTGTGAAATCTAAACTTAAAATGGTCTCCAACATAATATCTATAGCCTTTAACAAAGTACCTATATGAAATACCCATTTTAGGTGTCAGGAGAGGTATAACCTAAATCTGAGTATCCTCTCTCGTGGAGACCCATTTACAGAAAGTGTTATCTTTTGAGTCTCGTTGTTGGAGAAGATCAAAAATAGGTATTGAATCCTTTGTCTGTAGCGCTATAAAAAAATGAATGGATCTTGTATTTTGGGTCGCTGTTGTTGGAGACCGTCTAAATAAAGGCACAGAAAACTACCATTACCCTTGTTCCTCGACACCATTTACTGATCCCTCATTCAGCCACGTCGACGCTCTTTTGGCCGCACGATCCCACCTCCCTCCCATCCGACGCCTCCCTCTGTCCTCTATAACCTCCCCACCGTCTCCCGTACTCTTCTCCCCACTGACGGGAAAAAAAAACTGCCCACCCCCGAGACGACCGCTCGCCCCGCTAGCCACGCCGCCGCCACCGCCGCAGCTGGCCCCTCTCCCCACCCCCAACCTCCTCCCTGCTCCGCTTCCACAACCCGTCAAATCATCCATGTACGGCGTCCAGGCGATCCAGACGAGGGGTGGAGGCCACTGGTCTGCCCTCGCCGGCTCCGATTCACGACGCGGTCCACCTTTCGCCGCGCCGGCGCGCTCCACCCCTCCCTCTTCTCGGCTCCACTGGCCCGACGCTTTGGTGCGCTGCCACGGCAGCCTCGGCGCGGGCAAAATGGAGCAGCCCGGGCAAACCCTAGCGTCGCAGCCGGGCGTCGGCACGCGTGAGGCCTCCGGCGCGACCAGATCCAGGTACTACCGTCTCGCCCTTGCTCGCAACTCCGTGTCCGCGTCGTCAGGTCACTGTCACCGACGCCGCCGCCATCGCACATGCCAAAGGATGATGCCCGTTCTCTCTCTGTTTTTTTCTCCTTTGCCAGTTTCCTCACCTTTTGTTGTCCATCTTTATTGATGCAGGATGATTGCGTCCTCGCCAAAAGGGCCGGAGACGTCACCCACGCCTCAGCAGCGGAGGCGACCATGTGAGCCCCTTCTCTCTTTTCCTCCCTCTGAATGATAAGCTGATGGATAAAGACTCATTCATGTTGCAGGTTTTTTTTTTGGCTCATCTGTTACCTTTGTCCCCTGTTAGTTCCTGATCCTAATTTACACACTTCTTTATATGTTCTGGACAAGAATAGAACACAATACTTTAAATTTTGTCTATTATTACTATTTATTTACAACTATGTCTTTGTGGTTATCTATCATAGGCAGAAAATTTTTATCTATATTTATTTCTTATATTTATTACAGATAGGTCTTCAGCGGTTATCTATCATAGGCAGAATGATCTACTTGATTTGCACTGGACCATTACTTTGCTCTCCCACTCACTGCTTCGAGGCATGCATATGTTACTTCTTCCAATCATTGGGTGCTTACTGTATGTTACCTGCGCAGCCAAACTTTCAGTGTCTCAGTGTGCAATAGCCCTTACATATTTTTCGTGGTTTCCTCATTGATTTGCATGGTATGTATTTCATTTTTCAGGCTGCCAAATTAATTTGGGAATACATAACAGGATGCTCTGCCGAATGGATCCATTGAGAAGCTCAATAAACTGAGTGGTAATGATTCATGATGCTTCAATCGATGTACTATTGCAATTGCTTCCAACTTGGGTTATTCCACGCTAATCACAGTTCACATGCTTCGTCATGTTCATGGGTCCACCTTTTTTTCCATACAGATTAGAGTTAAGCGATTTTTAATTTCCCTAGGTTTATTCAACCCGATCCATGTCTGTGTTAACAAGCAGGCACTATTCGGGAAACCTTATCTCTGAAAAGGCGATAGCCGTATTTAACAATGTTTAGATGCATTTCTCAGTTTTTGTTTCATCAATGGACTACCAAACAAATCAGGAACCATTATACATGTATTTGTTCTTAGAATGTGTTCCTGTCCTTAGAACGTGTTCCATATGTTTTGATCAGGTTGGGAATTCTAGAATCATGGTGTTCTTTTCCTTCTATTATTTCAAAGTAGTGAGTTTCAACTGGTGCAAGCGATAGAGTCTTACCATCGCCGGAAGGTCCCAGTTCAATCATGATCTCCTCATGTTGCATGTGTGAGGGTAAGGCTTGCCACTAACACCCTTCCCCAGACCCCGAGAGTTAAGCGATTTTTAATTTCCCTAGGTTTATTCAACCCGATCCATGTCTGTGTTAACAAGCAGGCACTATTAAGGGAAACCTTAATACGAAAAGACGTATAGCCGTACTTAACAATGTTTAGATGCATTTCTCAGTTTTTGTTTCATCAATGGACTACCAAACAAATCAGGAACCATTATACATGTATTTGTTCTTAGAATGTGTTCCTGTCCTTAGAATGTGTTCCATATGTTTTGATCAGGTTGGGAATTCTAGAATCACGGTGTTCTTTTCCTTCTATTATTTCCTAAAGTAGTGAGTTTCTGTGAAGGGCGGGCCTGGTGCAAGCGATAGAGTCTTACCGCCTGTGACCGGAAGGTCCCGAGTTCGAGTCGCGATCTCCTCGCATTGCACAGGTAAGGGTAAGGCTTGCCACTAACACCCTTCCCCAGACCCCGAGAGTTAAGCGATTTTTAATTTCCCTAGGTTTATTCAACCCGATCCATGTTTGTGTTAACAAGCAGGCACTATTCAGGGAAACCTTAATACGAAAAGACGTATAGCCGTACTTAACAATGTTTAGATGCATTTCTCAGTTTTTGTTTCATCAATGGACTACCAAACAAATCAGGAACCATTATACATGTATTTGTTCTTAGAATGTGTTCCTGTCCTTAGAATGTGTTCCATATGTTTTGATCAGGTTGGGAATTCTAGAATCACGGTGTTCTTTTCCTTCTATTATTTCCTAAAGTAGTGAGTTTCTGTGAAGGGCAGGCCTGATGCAAGCAGTAGAGTCTTACCGCTTGTGACCGGAAGGTCCTGAGTTCGAATCGCGATCTCCTCGCATTGCACAGGCAAGGATAAGGCTTGCCACTCCTTCCCCAGACCCCACACAGAGTGGGAGCTCTCTGCACTAGGTACACCTTTTACTGAGTTTCTGTACCCCACTGTTCAAGACAAAATTATGTCAATGGTCACATCTTAGTTGTATCTGCATTATTACAATGTAGTTGACTACATGTTTGCTCTCAAATCATTACTTTTCCATGCATAATGCACCATGCATTTAATTCTTTATTTAACTGGTTTTGTGATGTAGGCACCAGCAGCGGTGAACTGTCAGCAAGTGATATCTCAGCCTTTCCATCTTCTCATTTACGATGCTCTATTTCAGAATCGCGCCTCCCATTGCACCGACCTATTACGTGCCGGCTTATATTGCCTCCAGGTGATTCATTCATTACTTTTCCTCTCCAATGCAAACTCTTGGTGCATTGGTGGTGTGGCGAATTTTTCTGCCCATAGCGTCACCGTTTAGATACTCATCTGCCAACCTAGCTTTTAAAGGCATTACCAATTCTTTAGATTTGAGATACGACAAACTTAACTCTGCTGTGATGGGTGTACTTACTTGGTGAAACACACAAAGATTCCATGTTTGTTAATATAAGTATAAACGAGTACCACATTGGTTACCTACATGCACAATGAAGGTTTGCTGTACCATAGAAGGCCATTAAAAAAACAATGACATGCATAAGCATTCAATGTTGTAGCCCACCTTTCATATCCTCAGTTCCGTTCTCTATTCGTCCATTTGCACTCACCCAAACTATGCCGCCAGATTGATCATTTCTGTTCTCTCTCTACGACAGATTGATCACGATTAAAAACTTCTGCTCAAAGACGGTACAGACGAAAGGCTGTCCTAGCTTTTCGAATAAATACTCATGGAAACATAGGAAATAGTTGGAACAATTGTTGGTATTTTTCCCATCTTATATGTGTAGCCTACAATTGTGTAACTGAAATAGTTTGTTTTCGTACCCAACAGCTCTCACAGATTGTCAGTTGTTCCTGTCAATGCTTTCCTGCTTCTGGCATCTTTGTTAACTTCAATAATATTATTATGCTTTACAAAATCTCCTACTGTCCACTTGCTGCTTATCTCAATCCTTTATGCAGACATGCACATACATTTATTTGGCCCATTTGTTACTCAGTGCTTATTCTTCACTGTGCTTTGCGTTGTTTGCGAAATCTACATCAGTTCTCTACGTTACCGGTACCTTCACATGCTCCATTTTTGTGCTTGCTAGCCCGCGCAACTGCACGGGGGTTCCTGCTAGTTCACACTATTTGTGGAGGGCTCCTTGCCAACAGTCTAAGTATTGTGGCGTTGGATACTTTGATATGTACTCCTTCATTTTAAAATTATAAAGTCATTTTAACTTTTTTGGAGAATCAAAGTATCTTAAGTTTGACTAAAACTATGAAGAAAATAACAAAGATTTATGACATCAAATAGATATACTATGAAAATATAATTAATGAAGAATCTAATGATACTTAGTTGGTATCTGAAATGTTATTATTTTATTATATAAAGTTGGTCAAATTTAAGATGTTTTGATTCTTTAAGAAAGTTTGAATGATTTATAATTTAGGATGGAGGGTATTGGTTTTGTACTCCTCATCATTTGACCTTTTTGAGTGAGCAACGTTCTGAGAAATTCGCTGGGAATTCAAAATTTATCCAAGGCCATGTTTAGATTGCAAAAAATTTCAAACCGATGAATAGTAGCATTTTCGTTTTATTTGGTAAATATTGTCCAATCGTGGACCAACTAAGCTTAAAAGATTCATCTCGTGATTTCCAACTAAACTGTACAATTAATTATTTTTTTTACCTACATTTAATGCTCCATGCAAACGGCTAAAAATTGATGTGATGGAAAGAGAGTGAAAAAACTTAAAATTTGAAGGTGATCTAAACAAGGCGAAAGCTACACGTTCCCGATTTCACATCAATCACGACATTGATGACTGATCGATACACCGCATAAAAGCTGACGTCGCTGGGCAGCCTGCTCCTCCCGTCGGCGCCGGCGAACGTGCCGGACCCGTACGGGCTGCAGCAGCTGACCTCGTCCATGTCGAACATGCTGGCGCCGAACGTGGACCCGACGGGCACGAACACCATGGCGTGGTGCGTGAGCTGCGACACGGCCGTGAGCGCCGTCTCCTCCTGCCCGCCCGCCGCCCTGGGTGCCCAGCGAGAAGAAGAACCCCGCGGGCTTGCCCGCGAGCGCCTGCGTCTGCCAGAGCCCGCCCGTGGAGTCGAAGAGCGCCTTCATCTGCGCCGCCATCATGCCGAACCGCGACGGGAAGCCGAACAGGGATGCCGTCGGCGTCGGCCGGCCAGCTGCTTGCCCGATATCACTGGGTGCTTGTCGCTCTTGGCTGGCGCGTGCATCTTCGCCAGCACCTCCTCCGGCAGCGTCTCCCCCCACCTGCCAGATGGTTGCCTCGACGCCGTCGACGGAGTCGGCGCCCTTGTTGATCTCCTCCGCCTGCCTCGCCACGTGGCATTACGTCGAGGACCTGATCAAAGTCAGCAGCAGCAGCAAGAGCATGATGAATAGTAGAAACATTGCCAGTGAGTACTCGAACAGTCGTACGTATATTTAGTACAGCATTGCAGGTGCTTATGATTAGGTTGTCCACGCACACGACGTAGATCTTTGTCACCGCCATTGATCATCGATCGCACAAGCTTGTCGTCTGCGTTCTTCCTCCGTCAGTTCTTGCTGTGTGCAGTGTGCTGCTTCGTGACTCCACACCGAGCGCGCGTTTATATAAGAGTCCGCTGCAAAGCTGAGCACGACGGATCGGAGGTGATTTGGGCACTGGGCACCATCTCATTTGGGCGGTCAAAAGCCGGCAGCCGGCGGCTCCGTGGCTTGCTGAGGAGATCAGTGGCGTCGCTCCTCGTCAAAGTGTATATATACCAGAACAAAGGGAAACTGAGGCTGGGTACATACAACATATATACTCCTATATAACAAGCGCTAGCTAATGCAAGGGCAAATACAAATTTCACTGAAAATATTTAATTCTTTGAAGATTTCTACAAACCAAATTGAATTAGCATAAAGAGAGTTGAAACTAAGTAAGTACTCCGTACTAGCTAGGATTCAAAATGAATTTTAATTGCTTTGAACCCAAACTTGTGTGACGGCACTGGGTGCGGGACGACAATCGAGCGGCACGCGCGGAACAATCGCTAGCGTGAATACCGAAGACGGTGACAGTGGCAAGGGCGATGCGTGGGCTAGCCATGGCCATGAGAGAGAGGTGAAAGAGGATAGATGGAGCTAACATGTAGGCTTAGACCCATTTTGGTGACCAGTGAGACCAAAACAGAGATTAAGCATCAAAATAACGCAATTTGTGAATACAAGGATCAGCATAATACACAATGCACAAGTTTAAAGACCGGCTATGAACTTTCCTCACTATAAATTATAACGGTGTATACTCACAAAAAAAAAATTATAACGGTGTCGGTGAGCGGCGGCGGCGTGTCGGGCTGTAGTAAAAAAAGAAATCAAGCGTAGAAAGAGCTCAAAACACTCGAGTGTTCGGTAGAGAGATTCCATCACAAAGGGCAAAGTGCACGTGGATCGGAAGAAGCGTGCATTCTCCTTCCCTCGCTAAGAATAGACTCGCGCGGGTAGGGGCGTGGCGCACAACAAAACGAGTTGAATCGCGCGCCTGCCCGGGGGGGCGAGCAGTTAAAACGGGTGGGACGCCTCCTTTCCCGCGGAAAAAGGAGCTCCCACCGCTCGCCACCGCTGATCTATCGTCCTCCTCCCTCCCTCCCCGTGGCCGGCCACCCACGCCGTTGCTGCTGTTCTCGCGCGCTCTCCGCCTCTTCTCTCGTAGGTGCCGTCGGAGCTTGCTTTTGGGGAGGTAGGTAACGATCGAGCTAAGCTTTAATTTCTTCCCACACATCATCATGCATTGTCCGCATTTCTGGTTCCTTATTGTCGCCGATCGATTTCTTGCATTGTCTCTTCTCTCTAGCTCCGTCGTGCCTCTAATATGAAGAGAATGTGACCATCCATTCTGTGATGCTTAATGCGGAATACTCCAGGTCGTGCGGCATGATCTGCTGACCGACCCCAAATCAACCCGGCCGCGCATCGACCGTCGCCGCCATCCAGTCCGGCGAGGAGGAGGAGGAGGAGGAGGAGGAGGAGGAGGAGGAGGAACCGACAAATTAAAGATGTCTTGCTGCGGTGGCGCCGAGGAGGACAGCTACGGCCCGCCGGCCAACCAGGCTGTTCCGCCACCCAATGCCAACGCCCCCGGTACAGCTTCAGGGCATCATCACCGTCGATGTCGTCTGACCACCACCGCCTTCTCATCTCAATCCATGCATGGCGCATGCAGGCAACAGAGGCGGACCGAGAGGACCGGGCGCGCCCAGGGTCGGCGGCCCCGCCAAGCCCGTCAGCATCGACGTGCCCGCCATCCCCTTCGACGAGCTCAAGAAGATCACCAACAACTTCAGCGACCGCGCCCTCATCGGCGAGGGCTCCTATGGCCGCGTCTACAACGCCACGCTCAGCGACGGCCGCTCCGCCGTCATCAAGAAGCTCGACACCAGCGCCTCGCAGGACTCCGACACCGACTTCGCAGCGCAGGTGCGGACGCGCGGTGCATGCCTGCCTGCCTTTCGTCATCTTCCTATTCCTCCTTTCTTAACGTTGATCGTGACGTTTCCGTGCATTGCCGGGCGCCCTCGTCTCCATCTCCATCGTACAGATAGCGATGGTCTCCAAGCTCAAGAACGAGTATTTCCTGGAACTCCTGGGGTATTGCTTGGAGGACGGCAACCGCATGCTAGCCTATCAGTTTGCCACCATGGGTTCTTTGCATAACATACTACACGGTTCGTAGCTCTGACGATCCATGCATCTCTTCTTCGGCCGACGGTGATCTGACATTGTTCAGGGAACGATCGATTGATTCTGGCATTGTTTTGTTTGTGCAGGGAAGAAAGGAGTTCAGGGTGCGGAGCCCGGCCCCGTCCTCAACTGGGCTCAGCGAGTGAAGATAGCTTACGGAGCCGCGAGAGGGCTAGAGTACCTGCACGAGAAGGTGCAGCCGTCGATCGTTCATCGAGACATCCGGTCCAGCAACGTCCTCATATTCGACGATTTCAGCTCCAAGATCGCTGATTTCAACCTGACCAACCAGGGGACCGACACCGCCGCGCGGTTGCACTCCACTCGCGTGCTAGGGACTTTTGGATACCATGCCCCAGAGTAAGATCCATGAAGAACGACGATAGATCTGGCATGGCAAATTGTGCAAGTTTTTCTTTTGTAGCAGTAGCCTTCTTAGTTATTGGTCGTTCTTACCCAGATTGGTATTTGGATCATTTTCTCAGATACGCTATGACAGGCCAGATCAACCAAAAGAGCGATGTCTACAGCTTCGGCGTGATTCTTCTAGAGTTGCTGACCGGAAGGAAGCCGGTCGATCACACCATGCCGAAAGGCCAACAAAGTCTTGTTACTTGGGTAATTATAATGTGGTTTGTTTAATTGGTTTCCTTTCTGAAACTCATCATAGTATGCAAATGCCAATAGTCTCCTGACTGTCAATGTCTATACAATCGTGTGAGTAGGCCACTCCAAGGTTGAGTGAAGATAAAGTGAAGCAGTGTGTTGATCCCAAGCTCAACAGTGACTACCCTCCAAAGGCTGTTGCAAAGGTAAACAAAACAAGAAAAAGTTCTAGCGCTTGGGTCATATATATGTTTCCAAGAACTTTTCAGCAGTTTGCCAGATATGCTACAGGGACTTACTGGCATTTTCTGAATTTTCAGCTGGCAGCAGTTGCAGCGTTGTGCGTTCAGTATGAATCCGACTTCCGACCAAACATGACCATCGTGGTGAAGGCGATCACGCCTCTTCTAAACGCGCCAAAACCAGCTGCTCCAGCAGCAGCGCCACAATCCTGATCAACCAGATGACAGACAGAATTAGCCTGCGCATCTCTGACTCCTGAACACGGTTTCCCTCTGTTTCTGATCGTAGATGTATGTTTAAGGAACCACGCATCCTTGCTCCATCGATCCAGCGCCTATGCTTTTGTAAAAAACCACTAATCTGCTGGTACTGCAGGACACATATAGGGGAATTTTGTAAAATGTTAATCCGGTACTCTGAATTCGTGTGCTTTTTTGTTTGTTTGTCTTGTGATATAACACATGTGCAGTTTTAGAAAGTACACATGCTGTCTCCAGCTAGAAAAGTAGACATAACCTCCAAATTCTTTTTAATTCACATAAAGTGACACTGAACAAAAGCTTGCTAATTAAGTTCTAACGACTGGTGTTGTGAATAATATATATGTAAATTTCCTTTTGTCACTCTTACAACTTGATATTTTAGCTATTTTTTCCTCCTAAATAAAACACTTGACAAGCATTGCATGACACACACCTTGATTCTAAGTGTGGTCATGGAGATGAGTGCAAGTTTCCAGCTTTTCCAAATAACATGAAGTCACAGCCACAGCTACAGCCTACAGGAATGAAACTGAATCAAATCAAGAGATTATGTCGCTCTTTTTCACCAAGAGATTATTGGCTCTTTTTCACCATATAATTGTTGGGACCTATTACAAAGTAGAAATAGTCCAAAGGAGCGCACTCTGATAACTTCAAGTCTTGCTTAAGCTTAAACCAAAACTTTGCTAAGTACACTAAGTTTATGTAGGTCCATCTAGCATCTTAATGGCTCCTTTCTTCGTAAATTTCTTATTCACAACTCCTCTAGAGCACAATTGACCAAGCAATTCTCTTGCCTCCTTTACTAAGCCTTCATAAGCCAAGCCTTCAACAAGCATAGTGTAAGTCGATTCGTTCGGCATGCAGCCATTCGATATCATGTAAGCAAACAGGTCGATAGCATTATGTGTTCCATGCCTTTTGCAGAGCCCAAGAAGAATAGCATTGTACAACACCACAGTGGGCCTTATACCCATATCTTGCACTTTAGAAAATGTTCTAATCGCCTCCTCAATTCTGTCTTCTCTACAAAGACTAGAAGCTATTGTTGTATAAGTAATGATATCTGGTTGGAGCCCTTTGCTGATCATCTCATCCAACAGTTCTAATGCTTCCTTTGTTTTGCCAGCCTTAGTAAGGCCATCTATGACCGTGTTATAACTAATCAAGACCGGGCTACAGCCTTTGTCCTTGAGTTGATGAAGCAAGTCAATAGCAACATCAACTTCCCCATTGCGGCAGAGTGCAGTAAGCAGAGTGTTGTATGAAACGATGTCTGGGTAACAACCCCTGGACACCATTAGTTCTACAAATGCCATTGCTTTATCCATCTTCTTTTGTTTGCAGAAGGCATGAAGAAGTGGGTTATAACTCAATGAATTAGGCGTGCATCCGTACTTGGGGATCTGCTCAAGAACTTCCATTGCGGACTCAACCAATCCTCTACGACACAAAAAACTGATGAGCATATTAAATGTTACCACATTTGGAGGGCAGCCCTTGTGGGCCATCTCTTCCATGAGCTTCTCGGCATCTTCCCACCGTTCTGCAGTGAACAAGCCCTTCAGCACAATGTTGTAACTAACAGTGTTCGGCTCGCACCCATAGGACGGTAAGTTCTCCAAGAACTCCATTGCGTCGTCAACCCGGCCTTCCTGGCAGATACCAT